GAGATATTCCCCTTGAACCATGAAAGCAACGATAATGGCTAGTATAATATAATTTTAACGTCACATAATCTGGCACACCTGAATCGGAGCTTAAAGAAAATCGTTCCCTGCGCAAAATTTTTCTAAGGCTTTTGAATGAGCTATGAATTATTGAAATCGGGCTTGGACACGCACACGTTCAAACACACACATGTCCTGTACTTGATATATATATATATATATATATATATATATATATATATATATAAATAAAACCCCTTGGTAATTTTTGAAAATTGGTTCAAAAAGTACTTGTTTTGTATTTTAAATGAGAGTAAATTATTACATAGTTAAAGAAGTGAGACATTATTTTTATTAGAAGATTTATTATGATGAAAAAAAAAATAAATTTTATGATTAAATTTTGCCAATTTGCGTATTATGATAGTGTGACTTTGTCGCAAACACTGAATTCCTCAATTCAACTAACGTCATCAGCAGTGAATAAATGTTTCAAAAGCACAGCTGTTCTGGGCAGGCTATTAGATGAGAACAGAAAAGCACCAGCATTCAAAGACCTTTCAGTTCAGCGAACTACACTCCATTCACCTCAAAGGAGGGACGCCGAGAATAGTATACAACCATCTCTGAAAGTAGCGACTACCATAATTGGAAAACGGTGTCTATTGACTCATCTTCTTGGCACTTAAAGTCCTTTCTGTCGGACAACATTACTGAACCGAATCGTAGAGAAAGAGCGAAGATAACACGACCACGATTAAACATGGTGTTTCCTTCAGTGCCAGTGAATGTTCCGCCTCTTGCAATCGAAATATGTTTTTGTCTCACGCATCTCGTCTCCATCATTGAGAAAAAAAAATGAAATCTCCAAATTTATAATCCATTACATTCATTTACGTGCTAATACCCTTGGGAAAGGTATGAATCCTCCTCTTCTCCCCCAAGCCCTGTTATGGGTAAATAGCAGGACAGGCCGTGTTCTAAAGACTTGGAAGGCAACTGGTCTACCGTACAAAGAAATGGCAATCTACTGCGGGAAAAAAATCTGCCTCGTCAGTCATGTATCGAAAGATACATGATCGCCTAAGCGTGTGCCATAACTGACTGAATTTATAATCACAAGATAAAGCTATGAATTCGTGAAACACTCAAAACAACCCAATCAAATCCAACGCATAACCAACCCCACAGATATATATATATATATATATATATATATATATATATAAATATATATATATATATTTTCACCTCAAGCAAGGCGGAAAGCCACTAGGACGCAAGGGGTTACAGAAAAATTGGAACAAGTTCAGATAGGAGTGATAGAAGAAAGGATGAGGAGAAGAGTAGTGGATAGATCAACGCAACTGGAGATACAGAGGCCAGTGAGACAGAGAGAGAGAGAGAGAGTATCGGAAACCCCTTCCTAAACAAGAAACAAGGCGTAAGCCTCTACTCATGTTCAAGAGAAGGGGGAGGATTGTTGACCGGGCGGTAGGAAAGCCTACCTACTCCTATTACATATAACACATACAACAACAGCAAAAACAGAGGTAACGATGAGAGGGGGAGGTCATTAGCAAAGAGTCCTGGCTGACACTTGCATTTACCCTTTCGCAACATTAAGTTTTAAGTTTTAAAAAGAAATCGAAGAAAATAGGGTTATCCGGATTTATTGCCATGTCATAATAAATGCCCCAACATACGTGGCAGCGAGTGTTTGTCCGCTTTCTTCCTCATGATAACAAGTGAATGTACAGCTTACCTTAAGTCCAAGCATCGACCCTGTGGGGGTGGGGGGATCAACGGCCAATCCACCGCCCTCACCAAATAGTGGGCTTGTGAGGCATGCTTTCAATAAAAATTAAGAACAACAGGAGAAAGAATGGTGGCGAAAACAATTCCAACTTCAGAGATTTTATCAAGCAAGAATAGTCGGCCACTAAATCATGAGAATACTGACGAGACACTTTCGCATCTAGCCAAAAACATTCAATTTTCCCCTAGATACAAATATTTAAGTAAATGCTCTGTTTATAATAAACAGTATTAAACAAAGTTTACCGGTTTGAATGTCAGAAATTTTCATAGAAAATATTCGTCTTCCGACAATACTCGGATATTCCGGACAGTAAATGCTATTAATACTGTTTATTTTAAACAAAGCATTTACTTAAATATTTGTATCTATCATAAGAATGTATAAACATAAAATATCTTGAAATAATTGTTGGACTTCGTCCATTTCATAATATATATATATATATATATATATATATATATATATATATATTAATCGATATCACTCGATGCACTAAAGCCACTAAGACATAAGCGGTTACTGGTTGTGTGAGAATTAGGAACAGAAACATTAATAATGAGCGATGAGCGGAAATAGTAATCAGCTGGACTGTAGATAGCGATTGACATAGCATTTAAATTTTTGAAGATTATAATTGTCTGGAAGGCATGGAACCGGAAGGTATTTCCACAAGCAAGAATTGCGAGAAAAGAAACTGTTAGGATATAATTTATAGTTACATCTAACCAGCTCAATCGTAAATTGATGAGATCTCGACGCCAGTCTAGTAATGCTCTTAAAGAGTTCATCATAAAAAAGAGCTCTTTCGAAAATTTACCATAAAAGTATTTATAGAAAAAAAAAACACAGAGAGGTAACCTTATATATTTACTTTATTATCCATTTTATCATATCTATCTATCTATCTATCTATCTATCTATCTATCTATCTATCTATCTATCTATCTCTGTTCTACAAATACTTTCATGGTAATTGCTCCGAGAAGCTGCATTCGCTGGTTCCCAGACGTAATGAGTTCCAGCGCCCTATGAGACTGACATCCCGCTCTCACCCCTTCACTGTCGAAACTCCTAAATGTAGCCGTCTCTTCTACTCTAATAGCTTCATGTCTCGCACGTCTCGCCTGTGGAACTCCCTTCCCTTTTCCTGTTTCCCTGCGAGCTATAATCTCCAGCTATTCAAGTGTAATGTCAATCGACATGTCTAGTTGCCTTGATCTATCCACTACCCTCATCCTTTCTTCTATCAACCCTATATGATCTTGCTCCTAAATTTTCTGTAACCCCTTGCGTCCTAGTGGCTTCCCCGCCTTGTTTGGGTGAAATGCTTAATATATATATATATATATATATATATATATATATATATATATATATATATATATATGAATTTTATCTACCCTTCTCCTTATTAATATATGAGGCCTGTTTAAAAAGCACTGGGGCTATTGCTATGGTAAGGGAACAAAAGCACGTAGTATGCAGTTACTTGAATGCGATGAACTTGATCACTGCCGGGCGCACGCACCAAGTTATAACGTCCTCGCTCACTTTAGCAATTTATAGCAGTTCTTGGAAGGAAAGTATGTAGAGTGTGGTCGTTTCATCGCACCACAGAGGTTCCATTATTGACCATAACTTATGTATCAGATATGGACAGCAAAACATTCCTATATTCTCACTATATTCTCCAGATTTCCTCTTCAAAAATCAAATCCTACTAAAAAGGAAGATTTTGAGATGTCAAGGAAATACAAGAGTATGCGACTAAAAAGGCTTCCATGAATGTATCTATTAATGAAAACAACTCTGGATAGGATATGTGGCTTCAGAAGGCCACTACTTGGAAGGAAATTAAATGCCGAATTGATATATGTTGTTGTTTTTACATAGCACCAGTCCCAATATTTTTGACAAGATCTCGTATATATATATATATATATATATATATATATATATATATATATATATATATATATATATATAAATAAAATAATAATATCTATAAGTGATTAAAATAAAAACTTGTTGAAATCGCTACACAAAAGCTTTCATGATTCAATAATTTGAAACTACTTCTTCACGCGATGTAACTAAAGAAAATTAAATTAAAAATGTAAATTAAAATATTTTAAGAAAATTTGAATTGAATATTTTTTTTAAATTTGGAAACAAAGAGTTATCTCTTTGTTTCAAAATTAAAAATAGTCTGTCTCTCTATCTATCTATCTATCGTCTATCTATCTATCTATCTATCTCTGTCTGTCTGTCTGTCTCTCTCTCTCTCTCTATATATATATATATATATATATATGCACACATATATATGCATATGTATATATATATAAATATAAATATATATATACATATATATATATGTCTGTTTCTCAAACTATTTAACTATGTATCTATGTATCTATCTATTTATCTATGTATCTCTCTCTCTATATATACATATATATATACATATATATGTGTGTGTGTGTGTGTATATAGATATGCATATAGATATATGTCTGTCAGTCGATCTATCTATCTATCTATCTATCTATCTATCTATATATATATATATATATATATGTCCCGCTAATGTACTTATCTTTATATATATATATATATATATATAAAAAGATATATATATATATATATATATATATATATATATATATATATATATATGTCAGTCTATTTATCTATCTGTCTATCTATCGATCTATCTATCTCAGCTTTATTTATATTCTGTGTAGTCAAACTCTCTCACTGACCAGTAGGAAACAAAATCAATCGTAAGTCGACATAGAGGAGCGCAATGTATGAGACTTAACGGTAGAATCACATAAAAAAGTAAACGCAGAATGAAAGTGTGAGTTACGTGAAGTCTCATTCTTTAAGGAAATTGATGGGAAATTTTTATGCCTATGATGTATTCGCCTCACTAAATATTTGTGATCTTTCAACAAACAGAAAGATTACCCAGATAGTTTTCGCGAAGCCAGATCATAATGATATCTATCTATCTATCTATCTATCTATCTATCTATCTATCTATCTATCTATCTCTGTATTCACACTATGCTACTGTTTGCATATATATTGATATATTATTGCTTAGTGTATTAATGAATGAAGCGAAAATATCAAAGATTTACAAGTACATCAAATATACTTAAGCGATAATTTATTTTAATAAGTGAATGTGCTTGCGTGTTTGTTTATTTTCGTTCCACAGATAGATAGATAGATAGATAGATAGATATGAACGTACTGAGATAGATAGACAGATAGAACGAGAAAGCCAGTTAGTATTCAAATCTTGTAAATTACTGAAATTGAGAAGATTTGTTCCATTAATAGATTAATAAGTTTCCATAATTTCAGATGGAAGGCAAGAAATTATTTCATTATCCATTTAGTCAAATTGAATTTGTTTCCTTTAGTTGGAAACTCATGCATATATATATATATATATATATATATATATATATATATATATATAATAGATACAAGTAAAACGTTTGTCATTTAGGTGATTGATGATGATACCTTCAGCATCCAGAGTTTTGTAGACAGATCCTAAAAATACCCGTCCACTCGTCAGTGGGTATAAGCAATTGGCTGCTTATTGCATCGAATCTTCCTTTAAAAAACTTTTTTCAGTAATGTACTGATAGATAGATAGATAGATAGATAGATAGATAGATAGATAATGATCGTACTAAGATCCATAAATAGGCAGATATGAACATAGTAAGGGTGATAAATATAAACGTACTGAGATAGATAGATAGATAGATAGATAGATACATACATACATACATACATACATACATATCAACGTACTGAGATAGATAGATAGATAGATAGATAGATAGATAGATAGATAGATATATGATCGTACTAAGATCCATACATAGGCAGATATGAACATACTAAGGGTAATAAATATAAACGTACTGAGATAGATAGATACATACATACATATCAACGTACTGAGATAGATAGATAGATAGATAGATAGATAGATAGATAGATAGACACACAGTTATGAACGTGCTGAGATAGATAGACAGATAGAACGAGAAAGCTATTTAGAATACAAATCTTGTAAATTAGTGAAATTGAGATTTGTGCCATTAATGGATTAATAAATTTTGATAATTTCAGATGGATGAAGACAAGAAATTATTTCATTATCCAATTAGTCAAATTGAATTTGTTTCCTTTAGTTGAAAACTCATGCAAATGCACGCACAAATTTACATACAAAATAAAATATGACTGCATATATATATATATATATATATATATATATATATATATATATATATATATATATATAAGTGTTGCTGATAGATGCGTAAAGAACAGTTCGAAATAGACTATCCCCAAGTCAAGGCAATTTTATTTTTATGTTTTTGCTGTAAAAATGTACATGGTCTGTTTTAATAAAAACACCGAGCTCTCTGTGGATCACATTTAGTAATTAATATTACTAGAATCCGCCCAGATTATATATCAACGGATCGACAAGCTGTACTATATATATATATATATATATATATATATATATATATATATATATATATATATATATATATATATATATGTCTGTGTGTAAAAATATATAGAAAATAAGAAAGAACACGTTAGGTAAATAATACAAAGTTCTTTAGTATTTTTTGTTATTATTTTAAAAAATATTGCTCGATACAAAAGTAGAGCATAATATAATTATTTATTTAAAAATTTGGATTCCATATTAAAGTACCAAGCTCTGTACCATCTTTAAGCGAAAATTTTTTTTTGTGGTGGGGTTCCAAAAAAATTTCGCTTGAAGATGGAACAGAGCTTGGTACTTTAATTCAATTTAATTCAAATAATTATATTGAAGTTTTCGGCTCTTGTTTTGAAACATGAGAACTCTTATGTAGCGATGGAATCATATTTTTAAAGGAATAATTATATATATATATATATATATATATATATATTTATGTATATATATTATTGATACAAGTAAAAAGTTTATCGCTTAGCTGATTGATGTTACCTTCAGCACCCTGGTTTCGTAGAGAGACCCTGCAAGAATTACCCGTCTACTAGTCAGGGGTAATAAGCAATTTCCCGCTTATTGCTTTCCCACTATACGCCCTTATAACAATCTTGTATAGTAACAATCTGACTTGACTTTTTTGTTGACATTTGATTAAGTGAAAAATAGCAACAAATAAAAAGAGATAAATAGACAATGCGATGGCTGAGATATGCTGCCTGTAGTAATAATAAGGAGATACATTTCCAAGATGTAAAGTTTTGGCATTCATTGAGCAAACCCTGTCGCTTGAAATTCATGGAATCTTCTTTTAAAAAACATTTTCAGGAATGTACTGATAGATAGATAGATAGATAGATAGATAGATATGAACTTAGATAATTAGATAGAGGGAAAGAGATGAACTTAGGTAGAAAGAGGGAAAAAGATTAACTTAGAATGATAGAAAGAAAGCAAGAAGGAAAGAGATGAACTTAAATAGATCGATCGATAGATAGATAGAAAGATGTGTGCGTTTGTAAATGTCTTAACAAATAAACTCTCAAATAATGTCTTAGCTAATTTATACAGGTATACAAATAAAAAACTCCAAATGCAAACCTGTAAACATCAGTTCACATAGTTACGTTCATTTTCATATAACATGCGTGGCTTTATATATCTGATATTTGAATATATCATTTTCTTTTCGTGTATTACTTTTAATCTGTTTCGAAAATGGTATCTTCAGTTCCACTTATCTTCACATTTAAAGGAATTTAACATTTAGAACATTATTTTACAGAAATATGACTGATTTATGAAACTCTTTGAAGTAACATTAACGTTTTAGAAGTTATTTTAGAAAGATGGCGACCTTATGACAGAATAGAAATACGTTTCTCAAGGGAGTTATAAAGAGAGCGAAAGAGGGAGAGAGAGAGAGGGGGAGATGGAGAGAGATACTTACGATAAGTGCAAAAAAATAAATTTTATTTTAAATATAACCTGCTGATTTCAATAAAAAAAAATATCCAAATTTGCTCTTATAGAACGCTACTTACAGCAACACTTATTTCTGCTTGCCATATTTGTTATATTTTAAACATTAGAAATATATAAAGTTTTCTGAAAATTCTATAACTGAACTTTTCCAGTATTTCAATGATTAAGTCTTTTCTAATAACTACAAATATTATTATTATTATTATTATTATTATTATTATTATTATTATTTTCTTTGATTTCTGGCGTTTACACATTTCTTTCCGGGTCCCGCCCAGGGACCTAAGGTTAGAAATGGCGTCATGACACTTTCCACTGACAAAAAAAAAAAAAAATAAATAAATATATTACATAGATAAAGCCCTTCGTAAGGGGTGGGCTGTACTTGTCAGAACAATTTTTTATATCTCCTTGAGGCATGGACTTCCAGGAATCCCTTCAATTAGTCTAATGCAATGTTTTCCAACCAGTCCTAGGGCTCTAACTACAACAGGGATTGTTGATGTTCCCATATGCCACATTTTCGAGATTTCTATTTCAAGGTCCTTGTACTTTGACAACTTTTTGAATATCTTCAAAGATACATTGCAGTCAGCAGGGACTGCCATATCAATAAGGAGGCATTGTTTTTGTTTGTGGTCTTTAATAACAATATCTGGCCGGTTGGCCTTGATTGATCTGTCAGTGTGTATTGTGTAGTCCCATAGAATTGTAACAGGTATTATTATTATTATTAATATTATTTGTTTATATGTTACCTGCTTTAAATCCTGTAGAGACAGGTCCAAACTATTGTCCTTAGGAATTATAGTAGAATTTTCATTTAATTAGTAGCACTTTTCTTAGTATATGGGATGTCCCTGTTAGAGGGATAATCTGACAACTTGTGTGATAATGTTACCTGGGACACTGTTAGTAAAATTGTCCATTTCTTTTCTCCAGAGATTCCGATTACTATTAGTACAGTCTCAGTCTTTATTCCCCACATCCTGTTAATCTCGATCTCCAGATCGTTGTATTTGGACAATTTCTTCATAATTATGAAGGTGTTTCTCTAAAATGGTACTGTTTTGTCAATAAGTATATTTTCTTCAATTTCTTGTCTCTTATTATTTATTAAAATAGGTTTATAATTTTTTATGAATCTTTTTCCTTCTAGTTTTAAGTTTTAAGCGTGCATTTTTGTCTACAGTTTTGAAAAATGAAATACTACTTCATTATTTTCATTCATAGTTATAACACACACACACACACACACACACACACACACACACACACACACACACACACACACATATATATATATATATATATATATATATATATATATATATATATATATATATATTCTGACGGATGCAGATAGTCCAAACACGCATAGATTAAGGTTAATCTCCGCCTGACAACAGAAGAGATCACGTGGAAGACTCGTGACATTTTGGGAAAGCAAGTCAAGAGGTTGACTGACCCAATTATCCGTAGCAACAGACGTCTAGACAGAATCTAGACAGTGGACCGACGTAAGGTCATGAAGCAGCAGGAGCTGGAATTCGCGCCAAAACGCAGGACACGTGGGAATTAGAAAATTACTTGGAAGTCAGTTGCTGTCTTGTCTTTGAAGGAGCAAGACTCGAAATCGAAGCGCTGATAATTTATGAACGGAAAGATGAGAACCATTTTGGTAATGATGGAACTTGGCCGATTCATCCCAGGCAACTCCGGATAAGAAATATAAGGAATGTATTTCTGTTCGTTAACTCCAAAGCGAAGAAGATAAATCGAGATATTTATCATTGAAGACGCAAGGAAATTTGTATGCTGAGAATATAGCCTGCGTTTGAAGAAAGAAAATGAGTAAATCAGAGAGAGAGAGAAGAAAGTATATATCTCTGTTGCAAGCTAAATTGTGTAACGAAGAAGAAAGAAAGAAAAGAGAAAACCACAGAGAGGAAGAAAGTGTGTATCTCTGTTATAGCCTGATCATGTGTGAAATTGGATTTGTATAAAGAAAAAGAAAGAAAGAAAAGAGGAAACGTGAGAGAGAAAAGAAAGGACAATGAGTAAAAGAGAGAACTGAATATAAAGATAAGTAATTATATATTTTGGACCCGTGTTAGAGAGATACACATGTATCCATAAATATTATGTTCTTACAAACAACTTTCCACATGTCAAAATAATAATATGTAAATCCTACCCCATCTCTTTTTTTGGTTATGTGTTGATTTCTGCATTCGTAGTTATTCATACTTATTTTTTTTATCCGTTCGGGTTCAGTCGAATCCATTTGGAGTTAGGCATATTTTGATATCCCAACATACTTGAGATACTGGTCGTCGGATGTTTACTCATGCTTATATTTTTCTTTTATTTTAATAATTTGTGTAATTATGTACATATTAAAATTGTTATACCAATATTCATTACGTCTTTTCGTTCATCCTTGAATTGTGGATCAGTATTCGTGTTGAAACTGAAGCGAATCTTGGAAAGGTTACCGTTTGATTACCCTAATCGAACAGTGTTCTTTAAAATATTTTTGTTTACTAATTGTCCATTTGTCATGATCTGGGAGAGATAGCTCGTATCTCTCCATAGATGTGATAATGTATATATCTCCTGGTCGGTGTATAATCGCATTATAACCTATTCGTCGACTAGGGCATATGACAATATACAGTGCTGTTCGATAAAAGTGACTCACCTTATTCTTTGAATTTAGCTCAACTTTCGTTTCATTGGAGAAGACAATATTCTTCCAGTCTTCTACGGTGAAATTTTTGTAATAGTGAGCCCATTCAAGTCTCTTGGCTTTGTTGGCTTTGCTTATTAGCGGCAAAAACCTTCGTGTACATAATTTGTAGCCTTTTTCTAACATCCACTGATGGTCTGTTGAAGAGGCAAGACTAACACCTTACTCTTCGCTTTGACTGGCTGCAATTTCATGACTAGTTATAGTCATATTCTTCGCAACTTCCGGTGAGCTACGCCTGCAGCGCATTCCAGGGTAAACCAGGTTTGAATGTTTGGTTTTTGCTGGAATTTTTATTTTTGTATAAATCAATCTATTCCAGAAAAGATAGATTTGGAGATTATGGCAGCAGTTTTGGGAGAATCATATTTGAAGATAGGAAATAAGCCGTCTCTGTCTGTCTTCGCGTAGCAAAAAACCGTTTTATGGAACTGCGTACGTTAACCAGTTTCGCACGACCAAAGGTTTTGGCTTTGGCTTTCATTTAGGATGATGAAGTAGTGGGAATTTTTTTTTCTCTGGACGAGGTAAAGAATTATCTTACTAGTATTGAGGCTGGGGCGTGGGGGTTATTCGCCATTCCCATTGTCATTTTACATTTATTCTTTTAATTTGATTCATTTGCCCGTCAATATGTCTAAAATCCGTTCTTTGAAAAGTGTCTATATATGCACTGGAACCAGTTTACTGCATCAGAAAAACTTCCATTAAATATTATGTGATCGACAATTAACATTTAATTAATATGCAGGTAAACATTACAGAGCCTGGAAACATTATATATATATATATATATATATATATATATATATATATATATATATATCAAGATATTTTTGTAGGTACAAAATTTAATATTACTAGACATAAAAACTTAATATTACTAAAAACAGGCGAAGCAACCGGTTTCGCTCTCGCTCTTCATGCTTCAACGGGAGATTTAATTTAAAATTAACACAGAAAAATGTACAATAAAAGGAAGTTGCGGGAGGAGAAAAAATAGCAAAAGGAACTAGAGTAAAATGACAGTGAGCCCCAACAGACACTCACGTTGTTTACACAAAGAAGGCTTATATATATATATATAACACCCTTGAGCGCTTAGCCTTGGGGCGGGTAGAATGGAGATCAGTTTTCAATCTGCTTGTCTGAATCATCTTCAAGAAGCGAGAGCAAAATCTAGAAGGTCAGCCAATCTAAAAGTGATCTCATCTCACGATCGTCACTCTTGCTCCATATGTGACCTCCTTTGCAAATCACAAGCGGGTCTTAAGTTCCACTTAAGATTATTGCTCAAAATTTCATAACAGAATCAATTAAGCTGTCAGATACTCATACGTCGAAACATTATATATATATATATATATATATATATATATATATATATATATTCATGAATTATTCATACAAAAAAACAAATACAATGCAGGTTAATGATTTAATTGGCGAGAAATCCATCGTCGCGAACAATTCAAATAATATACAAAAAACCCGAACATGTTTATGAATTAAAAGATCTTTGTTTTTATAAATTTCTGTTGCATAAGTTCTTATTATTTTTACAAGCTTTCGTCTGTTCCTACAGAGATCCTCAGGTATGGAATATATTTTGTTCTTGTTTTTACTCGCAGTAATAAGAGGACAACGAAAATATATGTATTGTAATCCGAAACATGCTATTAGAAATGAGTTATTGTTTTTGGAGCGTGCAGTCGCAACTCTGAGTGTGAATTTAAATTTTACAATTGTGCGTTCTTGTACAAATATGGTTATAAGTGAATTCTTTTTTACTGGTAAATTTTCTGTCAAAATGGCATGAACTATATTGTTCAATAATTACAGTAATGTCGCACTTATTATCCAAAAGTTGCACTTGGATCAGTTATTTTAATTTCAAAAAGGTGCAATTAATTTACAAATTCATATATATATACAAACACAGAATTGGATTGACGTGAGTTTGTGAAGTTGGATCTCACTCCCTTGCGATCGTCAGACAAACTGATTTATTTTCAAAATTTTGAATCTATTTATGGTTAAGTATGGTGGTGTTTGATGTTAGTGGGAGGAAAAATTCTCCTCTCTGTCCGTTTCGGGATGTTCACTCATACGTACGCAGACATGCATACATGCAGGTGTACGCATTGTAGTTCACACAAGCATATACATATATGAACAGTTGGGGACTGACCGCAGACATGTATCCCTGTGTCGGTGTGTGTGTACATACGCAATTGTCGTTGTTTTCAGTGTTGGAATCGTGTAGTGAATTTTCACTCACCAAGGTGTGGGATAGGGTGTTGCTCTCATCTTACAAATCGTTCCACTATTTTGCTAAGGGAACAATACTTTCTAACACACACATACACTCATATGTATATATATATTTATCCGTCTAGGTTTTACATTAATTAAAATACTGTTGTAGACGATGACACTTATATAAATAGTATAAATTCTAATTTATAATACGTATTGGTATTTTTACGGAAAATAGGTACGAATTTTGATAGGGGAGGGGAGTATAATTATAAAATAATGCGGCGATGATAATTATGGTTGTGGGGAAATAGGGAGAATGAAATAATAATTGCAATGTTGAGAGCAATGACAAAGCTAAACCATAATGGTAACAAAACAAATCGGGGGGGTAAATAATACTTTATAATAATTACAGTATTAAATAAATGAATAGTAAGACTGAAATAAAATTACAATATTGGGGCAATGACAATTTGCAAGTGTATATATATATATATATATATATATATATATATATATATATATTTGATAGATGTGAGTTTGTGACCCTGGGTTTCACGCTTTAGCGATCGTCAGACAAACTGATTAATGTTTTAAAAAATTTGGGTTTATGTAGATTGCGTGTATTGGTGTTATTGTGGAAGTGGTTGGGGAAACATACATGCGAGGAAATATTTTTCAGCGGGAAAATACATAATATGACATGTATACATTCATGAGACATTAACGAGACATTTCCGCCACACTTCCAATGTTTAAATTTCAACATTACAAAATACAAATGCGTATGTATAGACATAACACCACCCGTATGCATACATATGTCATAGCTGAAACTGCCCACATATGTTTATATATGTATGAGTCCCGACGGACGACCAAGTATGTATATGTGTCTGCATACATCGATGTTTGCGTTAGTACGATGAATGACGAAACGACGAAGTTTCCCCCCACCACTTCCACAATAACACCAATACACGCAATCAACATAAACCCAAATTTTTGAAAACATTAATCAGTTTGTCTGACGATCGCTAAAGCGTGAAACCCAGGGTCACAAACTCACATCTATCCAACCAAATATGTTAACTCTATCTCTGATATTGAGCGCTTTCTAATAAGTACCGCGCATATAGTATATAAATAATTATACATAGATATATTTATTTATATTTATATACACTTTTTCTATATATATATATATATATATATATATATATATATATATATATATATATTAATAAAGGTACTTATACAAATACCTAGGTAGTATTCTGTGGCTTGGAGTTACGCAGATGGAACTATGTCTATCCGAAAAGATATTCATCCTCAAAAATATTAACAAAGTAGGTCTACTTAATAAGCGGAAGGAACTCATGATAGGCTGCAAGCATACAAAATCGTTTCTCTGAAAATATCGGAAACACTGTTAGTTTCTTCTTTATTATATTTTCCTTTTATTAAATTTTCCTTTTATTTAGATTTAGGTCCCTCACTGCTTACCTCCCTTTAAGCCGTCGACATTAATATATTAGACCGACAGCAGGCTCCTCGATTATGACTTCAAATTTGAAACTTGAAATTTCTAACTTTTAAACGTACACCTTTTTTTTTCTTTTTGAAGATAAACACTACCTGCAATTATTTTTCTACAACTTTTGCAATATTTTATTTTTAGACGATGAAGCAGCGTCTCTCCCATGTGTCATCTTTGTATTTTTATTTTGTGCCCGACAAGCTGGAAAACCAGCGAAACTTAAGTCGCACACCTAAGCATAGGTATTTGTATAAGTATATTTATTAATATGCATATGTATGTTTAATAATATATATCTTTGCTCAGTCGAACGACATTGAGCACTGTTATGTTTAAACCTCATGAATAAATTTGATAATTATTTATTTGCTTGCACGCCAACACGCGCGTATACGGGTGCTTATATCTGGTCATTTGATTCACCTAACCCTATATCTATCTATCTATCTATCTATCTATATATATATATATATATATATATATATATATATATATATGGAGAAAAAGAG